CTGGTCAGTGACCTGTGATGGTGCATAGTCACACTCCTGAAAAATGTCAGGGTTGAAGGGCCAAATACCTGTGGATTCTGTAGTGTACAATATATGTGCATTTGACTCATAACAGTTTAAAATAGCACTGTAGCAGCAGGACAGAGGGTCAGTGACCTCCTAAGGGGAGAGCAGAGATTGGTGGTTATGTAGGGACTGAACCCTTCTATAGAATTTGACCTCTAACCCCTTGTTTTGTTACCTCAGAATAGTCCTGTACCTTTATATGGGTTGGAGCTTTATTTTGCAGACTCAAACCCTTCTATGGTACCTAACAGATACCTACACATATCCTATATAAGCTGTGTTTGATGTACAGAGAAACAGAGTGGTCATCGGGCTGGGTCACTCTCCAAGCTGCTGCAGAGCTTGTAATTGATGCTGAACTCCTTGATGTAATAAACTTTTATGATCAAGAACAGTGTCAAGCGAATTTCTTCTCAACACATCATCGCAGCATTATTGTTCGGACACCACAATTCAAAACCAGCGTGAATGTTTTTGGGTGTTGCAGCTATGGTGATGGCAGTCTTCACAATCATAATCGTCTTGGCATCTTCATCCATGCATCACTTGCAGAGTTCACCATTTTCTTAAATGGGCCGTAGACACTGCGATTCAGTGGCAGAAGTTTGTGGCTTCAGCGTGGGGGTAAGGTAAGTAGCACAATCCCATTTTCTTTGCAGAAGTCGATAGCTTTAACTGATATGAGAACAGTGGTTATCCAGCAAAAGCAAAACCTTCTTGTCTGGGCTGACCTTTGTGTGTTTTGCAAAGTGATCAAGGAATAACATGAAGTCTTCCTCTTGCATCCATCCTGAGGCGTTTCCAGCACTCCCCACGTTGGGCCACTCTGAATAAAGCATTCCTTGTAAGGTTTACAGGGGAATGCAAAGTAGGGGGAATTGCATTTCCCAGTACTTGCACAGCACATGCTACTGACACAAGCTCACCTCTCTCACCTGATGTCATCGCACCCACCTGCTTGACTCCACGTGCAACAACACGGTCTGGTGACAGTTTCGTCCATTTTCCATATGCCACTCCCATCAAAGTTATATCTCTCAATGACCTGTCCGAGGCTGTTGAAGAAATGTTCCACATTTATGGGGTTGCCTCTGGACTCCTCATGGACAGGTTGGGGTTCCGCTTCTTGAAGAATTTGAACCAGTCAGGCCCTGCCATCTGCTTCTTACCCCATGTTTGTGGGTATTTAAGGTTATACTTTCAAGCCAGTTCGTATGCGTTCTGACCTAAAAGAAAGTGAAATAGAAAACCTGACCAAATAGAAAAAGATTTCTATTTATCTGGCACCTATGCTAGTATTTAATTCTACTCTGGTCTCCAGTAGCTAACCTTTCATATGCTTACCTCACGTGGTGTCAATCTATAATACAGGTCTGCTGCCTGAGTCAAATAGTCACGCCGCCCATTGCTGACCACTGGCATAGATTCTAGAGAAAAAATAGTCTTGGTCAAAAACTTTACTGTCTTACCTCAAAATAATTTTTTCTCGATAAATTCAGAAATTGTCAGTTTTCAGACTTGACAACCACCATGCGGTATCAAGTAGATAAAAACTGAAATGATTACAGGACTCCTATCTTGTCCCTAAGTGGTGGAAATGGTGGCTCCTCGTGTTACAACCATACCCGGTCTCCCCCAAAATCAAACAGTGATTAACCCTGTTTAAATCCCGGTTGAACAAGAAAAATATCGCTTTCAAGGCAGGAGAGAACGAAGATGCCAAAAAAGAAATCCAGAGGGAGCTTAAGAACGCGCTAACAAGTTAAACCAGTTTTTAAAAACATGTTTGATTCACCGGTGCAAGCTACCCCCTCTGCAACTTCAGCCCGCTTACTTCTATTGTCTCCCAGCCCGGGGAGAGCTAACACACCGCCTGCTCCCTCAAACAGGAAGACAGCAGGCCCACCCTCCTTTATAGCTGCACCTTCCCCCCTTCCTTCCTTCCTTCCTGCCTTTCGCTAGCACAAAATATTGGTCAAATGTGTTCAGTTGGTTTAATTGGGAGTTTACCAATTTTACTTACAATCCATTTCCAGTGCAATCTAGATAATATTTTAGTCAGAGCAGTGAAGATGTAAAAAAGTAAAGTTTACAACAATAAATGCATAGGCTAATTAAAGTCATGATGATCTTTATTGGCCATTTTAAATGGAGCAGTTATTTCAAGGAAAGTTCTCTGGAAATCAACGTCTAATTATTGTATACACTCTTACTAGAACAACTGTCTGTCTCTTTCTGGGAAATTATTTGGAATTTACAAACCTGTAAAATAAAGTGTTACTGAATACTTTAACTATAAAATAAAGGATCAGCAGAGAATATCTTTTGATAGATTCCTATACATTTACATCTATTAAAAAATTAGGGCCTAAAATTAATTAGATGGAAAAAGACATCTTGGTATTTAGGATACAAAAGTCAGTTTAATGCATTTCTTATTTCTTATTGACAGCTAATTGCTTTAAGTCAACGCAACTAACTAAACTGTAATAACTGTCTCAAATCGGTCTTTATTTTTTCCTTTCCCAAACATGTGGTGTAAAATCATGAACATTTAAATTGAAGCGGTAACTTATTTAAATAATTAAGATATTATCAATTAATTATTGCAATTCGAAACCCCTCACTACTAGATGTCACTAGAATTTACACACTGAACCTTTAAACTACAAAAAAAAGCCAATCTATGATTTCATGCTCCTGTAATGTGTGTGTCTGGCTGAAAAAGTATTAATCTCAACATGGAGACTTGTAGTAAAGAGTTGTTATATACCAAATTTCATATTCCTCAGTGTTCAAAACATATTGTCCCCATTCACTCAGTTGCTGCATCAGGCCAAGTTGTAGTGGGTCGTTCTTCCAGCAGAGTGCAGTCTAACATCAGATTAAATCTACTGCATCAAATTCTCAGGATTTCTCAGTGGCTCAGTTTCAGTAGCTTTACCTTTCTATTTTATGAATGAGAATGTTTGTTTTTACTTTTCAGATGATTATCTTCCAAAATTGATCATCAAAGCTCTTCTCATGACCATTTACTTGGTAAGAGCAATTACCTTAAAGCTTTTCCTCTACTACCTGCACAGTACTTTTACATGATTTAGCATAGCACAGTAGAGGCTATATAGGGAAATATGGTACCATCTACCATCTACCCATCCAGTGCTGTGGGGACAGAAAGAAAAAGAACATCATGAAGCTGGCAGTGGCAAAGTATTTCCAAAAAGATTTTTTTTAAAACCCCATCAACATCTGATTAAACACAAATTGTTTTAAAGAGAGCACACTGTGATGTGACCTGGCCATGAACTTGGCATTCAGCTGGCCATGGTGAAAAATAAGAGAGGTGTCAGCAAATGAGGTTGACTGTTTTCAACTTGTCATAAATGTCACTCCAAATGTTGTATGTGTAAATAACTATGACCTTGATGAATCTTCAGACATTTTCAGAAAAGCTTTATGTTGTACTTGTGAGCAGTATGTTTCATCATTGTCAATAAAAATGTGACTTGTAAGGTCAACATATGCAAAAACTTAGCTGTGTCCTTATTGCATGAAACTCAGAGAGCATTAAATACTTAAATGTGATTTGAGCAGAGACCTTTTGGGCAGATTTTCCAAAGAACAATTGATTTTTCTAAATAAATAAATTTTTCACTTCAAATGAAAATAAAACTAAACTGAAACCATTCTTACATACAGTTGGGTCGTTCTCTCATTTAAGTGTTAACTTAGAAAAGATAAGAGCAAAGTAACCCTACCTTGGCTCACTGTCTCTTCCTCTACAGCATGAACAGTCTTGTTAAGATAAGGGAGGATCCCTGAAGTCAAAGGCCCTGCTCTCTAGTTTATAAAGCACTAAATGGTTTAGGGCCAAATACATTTCTGATCTTCTGCTTCGTTATGAACCATCCAGACCTCTCAGGTCATCTGGGGCAGGTTTGCTTTCTGTCCCCAGAGTCAAAACTAAACAAGGAGAAGCAGCATTCAGTTATTATGCTCCATATATTTGGAACAAACTCCCAGATAACTGCAGGTCTGCTGAAACTGTCAGTTCTTTTAAATTAAGACTGAAGACTTTTCTTTTTACCATTGCTTTTAATTAAATATTTAAGACTTTTCTTTTTACCACTGCCTTCAACTAGTAGATTGATAACTTACACTGCACTGTAACTTTTACTGTCCTGTTTTCTTTTTCGTTGTTTTTGGATATTAACACTATTTAAAAAGCTTAGACTGCTCTTTTGTTTCTACCATCTCACACTGCTGATCCTCAGTTAACAGGGCCCAGTAGAATTACAAGGATTAGAGTCCCTGTTTTGTATGCTGTTAACTTGTTGACAGGGTCCCGCTTTTACCAGAGTTTGTAGCGTGGACAATCTGGATTTACAGTGACGACTTTAACTAAGGAAGGGTTAGAGTCCCTAAGTGTTAAAGGGTTAGAGTCCCCTTAGGATTGCCTGTTTTTATTTTCTATTGAATTACCTTGTTGTTGAAACTTGCCTTGCCAGATGTACGCATCTTAATAACCATGTGATTTTTAAAAATCTGTTTCATCAGGTGATTGTTTGACTCACAGAAGTGCATGAGGACAAAAGCATATGCAAACATGTGGTAGGTTAAATTTGATTTTAAATGGTGTCTGACCTTTAGGGCACACCCAGCTAAATTATAAATTTTCATGTAGCCACAAACATCATCATTTCACCCCTCCCTCTCTCTGCCTGTGACAAGGTGCTCAGTTCAACTGTCAACTCCCGCTTCACCTGAGAGTCCTCAAATTAACAACATCGTCACGCGTTTGAGCTGTTGTTTGATATATTGTGGCTTTACTTTGATTTAATTTCATGAATAGGGCATTTTACTGAACAGCCACACTGTAAAAGTGACAGTGACCACACTGACATGAATTGGATATGTTGTGAAACAGGGAGCCAATGGAGGTTCTGGAGGACAGGGATGATGTGGTCACAGGAGCGAGTATGGGTGAGTGGACGAGCAGCAGAGTTCTGGATGTTCTATAGTTTATGACATGGATGGGTTTGGGGGCGTGAAGAAGGTAAATCTTTACAGGTAGTTGTTGGTAAGGGGGTTCTAGACTCTAGGCTGTGATGGTTGGGGCTGAGGTGACTCTCTCTCAAGGTTTCTGCCACAGTGTGTTATATAATATTCTTGTTTTGATTCATCTTGTCTATTGTCCAAGGCAGAGGGAACAGATGAGTGACACAGGAACAGGAAGATAATCATAGAACTTGCATGAGAATCATCATGTTTTTAAGTTGTTAACTTTGCCTTTCTTGTTCTTTTAGACAACTTGGCTCATCAGAAGAAGACTTTGTTTCACTCCTGGTTCCGGTTCCTGCTCCTGCTGAGTCTAGTGGTCTTCATCTTGTTATATGCTGTGTCTGACACTTCTCTGTCATGGTGGACAAACCTTCCACTCCATGTCCACTATCAGAGGTTTTTCAATCTGACTAACAAGGTTAATCAGGCTCCTTCTTATCGTATCCATCCAAAGCATAAAGTTAAACTAAGTGAGATCCATGAAACCACAGAACACCCTACTGTACCAGCTACAGGTATTCAGTACCACCAAGCCTATCCACGCAACTACCACAAGACCAAGACCCCTTTCCATGTCCTGATGGTTCCAGTGGCACCAAATAACGTAGCAGCTCGGGACGCCATCCGACAGACATGGGGCAAAGAAAGCCTGGTTCAGGGCGAGGTCGTGCTTACTCTGTTCATGCTGGGCATCTCTGGAAAAGCTGATGCTGAGCAGCTGCAGGAGAAGCTCAAACAGGAGAATCTGAAGCAACTTTGGTGATGTCCTCATCTGATAACAATATGTATTTTTTTAGCAGTAAATTTACTCAAAGTATGTCTGACCCAACTCATGTACATTTTTCTCATCAACAGTGTTTTGTATGTTCAAGGCAGGTAGTGGAAACTTAGAAAAAGATCACTGAAATTCTGCCTGTCTTTGTACACAAGTTACACTTCAACTGGAACAGATGATGCTGAGATCTCTGTAACTTAGTACAGTCTGTATCAAAATATCTGTGTTTCTGTTACACCTGGGCGGTAAATGAAGATTTTTACTTGAAAATATGTGAGCATCCTTTGACTGGACAGTGTCATTCCACAAAATGCTTCTTAAGGTGAGCTATTAAAGTTAATGTGAAATCTTTGGTATCTTGACATTGGCGTTTACGTAACGCTATTGCACATTTAAAGTGGTAACTAAACAGCCGCCCAACAGTAGCCTAACGGTAACAGGTCAGATTTTCCCTCCAGTGAAAAAAAATAAAAATAAAAGCCTGCTTGCAACCCTGCCGCGGGAGCGCGCCTTAGACTTCATCAAAGTGAATGAAAAATATACCATGTGGATTGTTTAATCTATCGTTTTAGTATTGTTTTATTAACGAGGTTTGTGTAGAGCAAGCTAGCACTTATAAACGTTTTCATAGGCTTACGTTATGTGTTATTGAATTTCGTATTATTCATTGCCTTCAATTGAGAATGTCTACACAATTACACACTACAACCGTGCTTTATTTCAGAAAGAAATTTTCTGTTCCAAATGTTACATTTATTGGAACCGATTTATAAATGACATTGACTGGAAAAAGGTTTGGATGATTCCTCACAGATACTTGATAGTAAACAAGGTGAAAGAAGTGGTGTTCAGAATAATTCACAGATATTACCCTGCTAATCATTACATGGTTAAATTTAAAACTGTTCTTTTTGTGAAGACCACCCAGAAACTGTATTGCACCTTTTTTGGTATTGCTCACACCAGAACTTTTTGGCAAAACCTCAGCAGATTTATCATTGACCATTTCTATGAAGACTTTGCCTTATTGTTGGAGAATGTTGTATTTTGCTTTTTATAGAAATCAAAGTAAAGTTGTACATTGTTATAAATTTATTAATTCTGTTGGCTAAATTCCACATTCATAAATGTAAATTCAGTGCTAAAAAAACCTAATTTTGTACTTTTTCTCCATGAAGTTGTGCTTTATATTAATTTGATTTCTGGCTCCAACAACAAAAAGGCAGTTAAAACTGTCAACATATGGTCCCCTTTCATTTTGTAATAGCCTATAAGCTTCCCATGGCAAAGCTTTGTCTAACTTTATTGGTGTTTTATATATGTATTTGTATAGGCTACTATTATCTGATCTACGGGAGATTCCATGTCCGCTCCTCACGGGGGGGTCTTGTCAGGCCCGGGGCAGATAAGTTTTAAATTTATAGAATTCTTTAAACAAGGTAGACTCAAAAGAAGGCTGCGTGGGGCCCCGAAACTGCAAACCCACTCCTACCAACACCTTGGTGATAGTGTAGGCCTCCTGGTTAGGCAGGGGAAATGATTCTGTCCATTTTGAAAAATAGTCTCCTATGACCAGAATATATTTATTCTTGCCAGCTGTCTCTGGTAAAGGGCCCAGAATGTCAAGTGACACCCTCAAGGTTGGAAGTGGAGCACAAGGGAGACGACCCTGACTTTTCCGGGAGGCACACTCTGTACATTGTCTACACCACTGCTTCACATCTCCAAACCACCCCACCCAGTAAAAGCGATCCTTCACCTTTCCCTGCAATTTCTGTATCCCTAAATGGCCACCAGTAGGGGAATCATGCAACTGAGCTAAAACTTTAGGAACCAGAGCCTGGGGAAGGACCACCTGCGATGCAGCATCTGAATCTTTAATAACCAAAAAAAATTATTACACTGGTGGCAGTGTAATAATTTTCACCTAGATATCAGCGGGTTAACATGGGAGGAGGTGAGGAATGAGCTCAGCAGTCAAGCAAGTCAGGAGCAAGCACGGGTTGGATAATATTAATAATGGTCCTCTTGCTACTATGGAATGCTAGAAGTTTATTGGCCAATGGACAGAAATTTAAAAAGTACATGAGCTCCCCAATAAACCAGATGTCATTTGTGTACAGGAAACGTGGTTGAGACCAAATTTAGATTTCAGGATAGTAGGACATGCCTCTGTTAGGTGTGATGGGGGGATGGAGTAGGGGGAGGATGTGCAATATTTATTGGGAATGATATTTCATTTAGAGAAGTGAGTGTAGGGGGAAAAGAGCAAGAATATGTTACTGTAGAGATATGGACAAGTGAGGGAGAGTTTGTAATTATAAACTATAATCCTTGTAGGAAATTAGAGTTGGAGTGGCTAACACAAATGGTGGGGCTGGATGGTAGTAGGGTGGTCGTATGTGGGGACTTAATGCACATGGCACGTTATGGGGAGGAGTAAGAACAGATGCAAATGGTGAGGTAATAGAAGAACTGCTAGAAGAGAGGAACATGGTTTGCTTAAATGATGGGAGAGGGACTAGAGTAGATATGCACATAGGGAACACGTTGGTATTAGATTTAACTTTAGTTTCTAGGAATTTAGTGGGAATATGTGAGTGGGATCGATCAGAAGAAACATCAGTAGGTAGTGATCATTTTCCATTATGGTGTAGTGTTTTATTACAAAAAAATAAGAAGCAAGGGGAATTACTGCATTTAGCAGTGCAAAATGGGAAAGGTTTTAATTTATATGTGAGATAGAAATGGATAAAATTGATCTAAATGAGGAAATAGAGAAGATTGATAAAAAGCTTAAAACAACAATACTACAAGCTGCCAAAGAGAAAGGCAGTTCCCTGGTGGACAGACAGAGTGTGGGAAAGTAGTGAAAGAAAGGAATAAAGCCCTGAGGTTATTAAGAAAAACCCATAATTTAATTAAATATAAAGAAACACAAGCAAAGCAAAAAAACAAAGCTGGCAGGCTTTTTGTGGTAAAATTGGTAGAGCAACACCTGCCGGAGATGTGTGGAACATGATTAAGAACATGCGAGGAATCAGAAGGGAATGGCAGCATCCAGTACTGAAGATGGGGGAGGAAGCAGCAGTGTCTGACAAAAAGAAGGCAGAGATGATAGCGAAGGTACTTACTCTTATCCATAGTTCCGATAACTTGACGGAGGAGGGTAAGAGAGGAAGGGCAATGACAAGATCAGCACATGGCGACTTGCTTGATACTAACCGTACAATGGATGCTCCAATTACTATGGAAGAAATGAGGAGGGAAATAGCAAGATCTGGACTAACATCTCCGGGGAAGGATGATATTTACTATGTAATGTTGGAACATTTAGGTGGTTTAGCAGCTACTAAATTGCTAGGTTTTTATAATAAAGTATGGGAATTAGGGAAATTGCCAGCTGGGTGGAAAGAATCAATTATTCCTATCAGGAAACCAAGGAAGGATTCGTCAAGTCCAATGAACTATAGGCCAATAGCACTTACGTCACATATAGGAAAGATAATGAAAAGAATCATTACAGAAAGATTATCATTTTACATGGAAAGCAGAGGAATTTTATCACCTCATCAGAATGGATTTAGGAGGGGTAGAGGAACTATGGACCCTGTTATGCATTTAGAAAAAGAGATAAGGAAAGCGCAAGTTAATAAAGAATCTGTAATGGCAGTGTTCTTTGATGTAGAGAAGGCATTTGATTTGGTTTAGGAGGGATTATTGATAAAATTAAAAATGATCAGAATAACAGATAGGACATATAACTGGATTAAAGAATTCTTATTTCAGAGAAGTATGCAAGTCAGAATTGGGACAGCTGCATCAGGAAGGTATATGGTAGAGAATGGTACTCCTCAGGGCAGTGTCATTAGCCCTTTACTCTTTTCCATTATGATTAATGATGTTTTTTCTCAAGTTCAGGGTGATATTGCACAGTCACTGTTTGCTGATGACGGAGCCTTGTGGAAAAGGGGAAAGAACATTAACCATATTAAGGGTAAAATACAATTGGCAGTTAATGTGGTGGAAAGATGGTCACTTGCATGGGGATTCAAGTTTGCAATTGGGAAAACTAAGACAGTAGTCTTCACTAAAAAGAGAGGGGTCAATGCTCAGTTAAAGATGTATGGGCAAAAGATAGAGCAAGTAAAAGTCTTTAGATTTTTGGATGTGTGGTTTGATGATAAGTTAACATGGAATGAACATATCAGTAAGATAAATACCAAGTGTAATAAGATACTGAATGTGATGAGATGCTTAACAGGGTCAGAGTGGGGAGCAAGTAGGGCTGCTATTAAAAATGTGTGTATAGCACTGATTAGATCAGTATTAGACTATGGGTGCATCAAAAACTGCTGTTGTGGGTCTATAAAAACAACTCCTGTGTCTGCTCTTCAGGTAGAGGTGGGGGAAATGCCGCTGAATACTAGATGTAAACAGTTAATGATGCACTACTGGGTAAATCTGCAAGGGCAGTCTGACGATCGATATCCTACAACAAAGATAATTCTCCTATGTTGGGAGAGAGAAAGGGCCAAACGAGGGTGTTTTGCATGGAAATGTGAGGAAATAGCTGGAGACATGACATTAAGTCAAGTCACCACTCTGGATGTTTCCTTCAGTGTCAGTTGACTTATATTTTTGGGGAAAAATGCAGCATCAAAAAGGTTGTGGAAATATTGTATTGGTTGAAGATGGGTTACAAACACTATATCAAACATTTGTCCAGATATATACAGATGGATCCAAGGATCCTATTACAGGCAGAACAGGTTTTGCTTTCAGTATTCCTGCCTTACACGTTTCTGTTAAAAGAAGGACATCAGATCATTTATCCGTATATACAGTCGAGATGTTGGCAGTTGTAACAGCATTACAGCGGATAGAAGAATTACAAATTAATAAAGTTATTCTTTATACAGACTCCTGCTCTGCATTAATGTCACTGCAGTCATTTACATCTCACAGCAGGCAAGACATGGTTATTGAGATTTATGAAACGTTGTACAGAATTAAAAATATGAACATGCTGATTACATTTATGTGGACCCCAGCTCACAGAGGGATTAAGGGAAATGAAGGTGTGGATGCATTAGCAGAACAGGCTCTGAAACATGAGGAGATCTTGTGCGTACCACTCAGTAAATCTGAAGCCAAAGGAAAGATCAAAAGAAACATCGTTAAGGAGTGGCAGAACAGTTGGGACACAGGAAATGCAGGGCGACATCTCTGTACACTACAGCAGGATGTGGGCACAGGAAGGACAGCCAGAAGAATCGATAAAGAGGAGAATATCTTGACAAGGCTGAGGGTAGGGCATACTAGACTTAATAAAACATTGCATTTAATAAACACGCACCCTTCAGGATTATGTGAACACTGTCAAATAGAGGAATCAGTAGAACATGTAATTCTTCACTGTCAAAAATTCTCTCGGGAACAAGAAACATTAAAGAGGGAAATCAGAAAGCTTGGACAGGAAGAATTGAGTCTAAAAGATGTATTTGACATTGAGGTAGGGAAACTATTTCATTATTTGAAACTGGATTGATCAATAGAGTTTAGTGAACAGTGAAATAACTCTTTCTTTATGGTTTTGTTTTGCTTTGTTGTGTTTTGTTATGTTTATTTATTTATCTATCAAGGGATAGAAACTCTGGTCCCCACTCCAACATAGTAGGTGGCTGTAATGCACCTTAACGCTGGGTGCCACCCGCCATTAAACGGAACGACGAAGAAGAAGAAGCAGCAGCGAAGTGAGGGTGTGGTTAATGTGAGCGGTGTCCAGTCTCAGGTAAAGATAAGCTGTGTAATGGCTGGTGGTTCTGGTGGTCTGTGAGATCTATTCGAGATCATAACTACGCCACGGTCCCTGGTCTCCCGTGAGTTTTACAGCACAAGAGGAAAGACTGCGGAGACAGCTAGGGTGCGTTTTTACAAAAGGACTACAAAAGGACTACAAAAGGACTACAACAGGTAACGTTAAGTTTAGGGTAACAGGAAAAAATGGTAACCAAGTTTAGCTGTGTTTGTGAGTGCAGCTCAACGGTGGTGCAACTGTAACGTTAGACCCAAGGTGACTCCAGCAATCCGGTACGTTAACGTTAATTCGGTCAAGAAAAGTCAGAATTGATTTAATCCAGCAGACGGTTGACTCTTCAAAGATTTAACCTAAGCATCCGCTAGCAGCTTTGGGGCTTTGGGCTTAATGTTAGACTTTTGCGTTGCTTTTGCATGTTGTAATGTAACGTTAATTCCAAAACTTATGCAACAATATTTCCCAGATGAGAAATTATTTTACAATGGGCCTATGTTAGGCCTATGTTAGGCCCATTGTAAAATTTGATATCACAATACAGGGTGTCCGCGGGGTCTTAAAAGGTGATAAATCAATTTTGCGACAATTAAGGCTATTAAAAAGTCTTAATCGCCATATAACAAGGTATTACATTTTGAAGATTTTTTTTTTCAATGTGAAAATCTTGTTTGTCCAAAAGTTTGTTTGCTAAAAGTGTAGATGAACGTATTTATGTATTCATTTACTTCAGTTTCAGTGTTGGCAGAGCTGATATACTGATTAACCATTTCTTTAAGCGGATTTTAAATTAGCTTGTATGGATCCAGTTCTGATAAAGCGGTTAGGATCGAGTTTCATTCTGACGCAGCTTTAAACCGAAAATGCAGACTGACTGAAATTACTTTTTCTTAACGGGATAATACAACAATCAATCAATATGCTCCAGGATCACATGAATCAACACCTATCAAACGTCCTATCAAAACGTGTCACCTTATACAAAACCATAGCCTATAGCTACCGTGCTTGGTAAATAAAGTAATAGCCTAATTTTTGCAGTGGCCAAATGGTTTTGTGTGTCCTTTACCCTGTGTCTTTATTCTATTCCTGGCTTTCCACCTGACCTGTATCTAAAGCTCATCTAAATTCCATTTCTCTTTAACTTTCCATTTGTGTCCATGTCCTTAGCAATTATTAAACCTTCCCCGTATAAATTAAGTAATCTCCTTGTGAAGTGTTTAATTATTTTTAAACGCTTTAAGGTTAAAATGTCCACCTTAGCTGGCTTTCCCTAAAATTAACTTTTGGCCAATTAAGTCAGCTCTGACAATTTTATTCCTTGGTAAGTTTTAAGGTTAACATAGAATGCCTTGCGAAAGTATTCGGCCCCCTTGAACTTTTAGACCTTTTGCCACATTTCAGGCTGACATCAAAAAGATATAAAACTGTAATTATTTGTGAAGAATCGACAACAAGTGGGACACAATTATGAAGTGGAACAAAATTTATTGGATATTTCAAACCTTTTTAACAAATAAAAAACTGAAAAATTGGGCGTGCAAAATTATTCAGCCCCCTTAAGCTAATACTTTGTAGCGCCACCTTTTGCTGCGATTACAGCTGTAAGTCGCTTGGGGTACGTCTCTATCAGCACATCTACCAGACTGCGAAACAACACATAAATGCACTGATTACATATTGTTCTCAATTAGTTTTTATCACCATTTAATGACTGCTTTTATTAGTCTATCTTTCAGGCATTGTTAAAAGTAGAAATCAACCGCAAATTTAGGAAATGTGGGTCCTGTGGGTCATATTAGAGGGATGGAATGGTTGGAGGGCTCAGAAACCTTATTTCAAGTCAGTGACATGCATTTTTGACATTAGGCAATATGAAGAGTTTTAGAGAATTTAATCAATGTGTGAAAGAGCCATATAATTAGAGCTGAAACAACTAGTTGATTAATCAGTTAGTCTAGTTGAAATTAATCTGCAATAAACTTTATAATTGATAAATCAACACTTGGTTAAATCAAGCAAAAATGGGTTTTGGACACTTTTTTAGTCAGACAAACCAAGACATTTTAAGACATGAAGGCTCACTATCCTCAATGATTTAATTTTCTGTAATGATAATCATATAACTGATTCTTCAAACGTTTCAACAAAAATGGAACATTTTAAACGTTAAAGCATGTGTAACGTGATGTAAATCGGCTTAGCTGGACACCACTAAAACTCTAAAATCAACCGTTTGTGTTACTGTTCTGCATTATTTGGTCAGACTTAGTACTCTCACTAACTAGACAAGTGGCACAGCCAAAGTGAGATACCAAACACATTAAAATATTTATATCCTTTTCTCTGAAAGAAGACACATTTTAGCAGTCTCTAGACTCTTTGAAACCCACTGGTTGGCCAAGTCCAGAAATAATACTTGGTAATAATGGTTCTACATATGACTACATATACTGATTTATTGGCAAGATTCAATACACTTGAGAATGTGTACCCACTTTTTGGTCCACTACTCAACTGTCAAAGCATGCCCTTATTGAATTTTGATTTAATGAAAAAAGGTGATTTGGTGCAAACAATTAGATTTACATGTGCAGGATATGGCTTAATACATTGTTGGTATCAACTGAAATGTGCAGCACTCAGTGTTGTATTGAAACTTTGCTTTTATGTTCAAAGTTCTCATAAATGTGTTTGTGGTTAGACAACATTTGAGAAATTCAGCAACGTCTTTTGTTAATTGCAAAAAGGGGTATAGTAGAAAAGATGTATTTCATTATAGAAAAAGATATTGTTGGTATCAGTATCCAAACATGGTATCACATTAGAACTAGTATCAAAACATTTCAAATGATGCTGATAAGCATGACATTCATATTGAGGGACACGGTTTTGTTATTTTTTTTTTATTTTTTTTTTACAGCTTTTGTAATTGAAATTTTAAGCATTAAATTGTGTTTTTATTTTTCTCAAATGTGGTATTGTGTGTTACTGTTTTATCTAAATTATATTTGCTAAGACAAGTGCTACCATTTTATGATAATGTGAGTCTCTTTTCTTTTGTAGTTATAATGAATACTGGAAGGAAATACTTAAAACAGAAATTACTCTGCATCCTGGGAGCAGTGACGATCCTCCTCATCTATCTCAGCAGCTGGAGTTGTCTGGGTCTAAAAACAGCACTGTCATGGGACGATTGTGGGCCTTATGTGGCCTATCCACAAAACTACAAGTTCATCATGGATGACACACCCACGTGTAAGACCAGGAGTCCTTTCCTGGTCCTGATGGTTCCGGTTGCACCCAGTGACGTGGCATCTCGGGAGGCTATCCGGAAGACATGGGGAAATGAGAAACTGGTTCTGGGTCAGCTTATCGAGACTGTCTTCATACTTGGCCTGCCTGGAGGAGCTGATGCTGAGCAGCAGCAGGAGAATGTCAAACAGGAGAACCTGCTGCACCATGACCTGATCCAGAGTAACTTCCAGGACAGCTACCGCAATCTGACCATCAAGACTATGATGATGCTGCAGTGGCTGGCTGTGCGCTGTGTAAAGGCTTCCTATGTCATGAAGATTGACACAGATATGTTCCTCCATGTCCAGAATTTGGTTAAACTGTTGCTGGATCCCAGCGTGGCCAAACAAAACTACATAACAGGTTTGGTGTGGTGGCACAGCCCGGTTTTAAGAAACCCATTCAACAAGTTCTACATGCCGAGATACGTGATTGCGGAGTCAGAGTACCCTCCATATCCTCTGGGCATGTCCTACATCATGTCCATGGACCTGCCTGGAAAGATCCTAGGAATCTCTTCTCAGATTAAACCTGTTTATATTGAAGACGTCTATCTGGGTATGTGCCTAAAACTTCTGGGCATTTCCCCCACCGACCCACCTGAAAATACAATGTTTATTGTCACACCCAGTCATCCTCTGAGCGACTGCAGCCTTTCAAAAGTGATTGCTATAACAACAACAAGCATCCCGCAGATGATGCGTTACTGGGAGAGGAGCAAACAGCCAGATGCTAAATGCTGAACTTCATCAGGTTGACTGAAATTAGACCTGTTTAGTGGTAAGATGACCCTTTTTGTGTATATTTAAAATAAACTAAAATGGAGCACATTTATTATGTGTTTACAGACAACATGGAAGCACCTTGCTTTTTGGTTGGAAAGAAAAGACAAAACAGATTTAAGGATTAACATCCACCTTGTATCAAATGTACTTCTCAGCCAGCTGAACTACACAGACTTTCTGAGCTGTATCAGCTCTCAGAGATGAGAACATCTGCTGGCCACAGAACCAGAGTGTTAGAACCTTGACTTGTCCAAAAGAGTTGTTTAGTTAAAAACATCTGTTGTAGCCTCATTTTGATATACGAAATTCCATATTCCTCAGTGTTCAAAAGATATTGTGCTCTTCACTCAGTTGCTGATCAAGCCCCTGTACAGTTGTAGTTGGTCACTGTTCCAGAAGAGGGCAGTCTAACATCAGCTTAAACCCACTGCATCAAATCCTCAGGATTTCTCAGGCTAAATTACCATTCATTTTTTTTTTTTTTTTTTACTATTCAGCAGATTATCTTTCAAAATTGATCAACAAAGCCCTTCTCATGACTGTTTACTTGATAAGAGCAATTACGGTAAAGCTTTTCTTCTGTTACCTGAACTTGCTGCTACAGTATTTTCAATTTCATCATAGTCTGATATAGCATGGCAATTTAGGGAAACAGGCTACCAAACAGTGCTGTGGGAACAAAAAGAAAAATAATCTCATGAAGCTGCAGTGGCAAAGTACCACCAAACAGATTAAAATAAATAAATAATTTATAATTTGTCTGATTAAACACAAATTATTTTAAGGAGGGCACACTGTGATGTGACCTGGCCATGAACTAGACATTCAGCTGGCTATGGCGTAAAATTAGGAGGGGTGTCGGCAAATGACTGAAGTTGATTGTTCTGAACTTGTCACAAATGTCACTGTAAACATGTGTGCACACTGAATTAAATGTGAAAAGGAATAAACAACCCTTTGGTGATACTGCAGTTTTGTTGGTAATTTTTTGACATAAGGCTATTTACAGAAAACCTGAGCTGAAGAAACCTCTCGGTTTCTTCAGCCAACCAGCTGTCCTGGATTTTATCCCACCTTGCACAACTATGACCTGGATGAATCTTCCGGTATTTTCAGAAAAGCTTTATGTTGTACTTTGTTGTACAGTATTTTTCGTTGTGTGTCGTATGTCAGTAAGGTCGACAAAGTCAATTTAAGGTTTTTAAATCAAAGCTTGAGACCTACTTATTCCCTGCTGCCTATGAGTCCTAAATCTTTCTTTATCTTTGATGTCTTTGTATAGTGGTATTTACTTTTCAGTGTTTCAATTTAAATTTTATTATACTGTTTGTATTTTAATTGTATTGTTTTTATAAAGCACTTTGATTGAAAGCGCATAAACAACCATAAATGAATGTATTAATTTTATAAATGCAAATACTTGGTGTCCTTCATGGGTGAAACTCATAAGCAGATAGCATGAAATGAAAATGTGATTTGAGCAGAGGCCTTCTAGGCAGACTGTCCAAAGAACAAAAGCATAAGCAATTGATTTTTCTAAATAAATCAATTTAACATTTTAAATGTGAAAAAAAAATCAAACCATGCTTGGATACAGCTGGGTCATTCTCTCCTCTTGTTTAAGTGTTAACTTAGAAAAGAAAAGTGGACAGTGACCTTACCTTGGCAGTCTCTTCCTCTCTGACATGAACAGTCTTGTCCCATGTGTTCTCATTCATCTCCAGCTGTCTATGATCTGTTCTCCCTCTGTCAGATAAGGGAGGATCCCTGAAGTCAAAGGCCCTGCTCTCTCTTTTCCTGCTGACTGCAGCCTGCATAAATCACACAGATGCTGAAAACCCAAACTTTGGATCCACACATTATTCATTGTTTTTGCTGCCATCTAACGACATAGATCATCCTCAGTGGTTGGCATTACAGCTTAAATTGCTGTTGGCACTATCCTCTGTACAATTTCATGCCTGACAAATAAAAATATATTTGTGTGACTCCTGTCAACGATGTAGGACAGTGTGTATTTTATGTACAGTTTGAGCCACCACGTCAGCGCAGGATAACACATTCGTTTTTGTCCTCCTTCAGATGTATATATTTCCTCCTCCACTTCCTTTCTGTGCCAACCAGACATTTTGTTTGCGCGCGTGTGTCTGCTGCCTCTGTGTTAGACACATTTATTGTCTCACTATTTGAGGTATGAACATAACTCTCGCAGAGATTACGCAGATGATCCAATTTGTACACACACAGCTACAGAGGAAGTTGCTTGTCTTCTTTTCTTCCTTTGATACTCTCAGACAGGACTGAGTTGATGGATTCCTATTATTATAGGCTATTATTTGTTGTGTGTAATATCTGTGTGTGTGTGTGTGTGTGTGTAGCAGGTTGGGGATGGGGTTTTATTTGTGTTCCTTTCCTTATTTTAAAACAATTACAGGTCTGAGACAGAAGTTAATAACAACCAGTTAAACATACAAAAAGAGAGAGAGACCCACAAAGACAAGACATCAGAAAGCAAACCTTACACAAGATAAAGGAAAAAACTATTGCTAGTATTGTTATGTTAAATAGACATACGACTTAAATAAATAGTTTTAAAGATATATTATTAAGAAAATTGGACAGTGCCATTGGAAGGCAGGTATCTGTTTTTGTATAATTTTCAAGGCCTATTATTCATTCACCCCAGCTAAAGTTTGTTTTAAACTTAAATCCAAACTCACATTACAACCTCAGTCTGATTTAGTCATGAAGATAAGCCATAAATTACCCAAAAGTCCAATCTCACGCTATTCCTCAAGCATACAACACATATACAGAAATGATACCATCCTCCCCCCAATATTCTCCAGTTTTAGACGCCGACCAGGTGTTGTTGTAATGTAACCCCCACCGCCCCGCCGAGCCCCTTGCAGACCGGCTGTCCTCTCTGTCACCCTGAGAAAACAGGTCATATACTTCAGCTGGTCCTGTTTTTGGCACAGACGGACAGATAGGCACACACACAAACACAAAGCCTTGTGTCACTATCTTCCCTAACCCCTTACCCTAACTTTAGCCATCACAACTAAGTGCCTAACCCTAACCCTAAAACCAAGGCTTGTACTCAAACAGCCCTCTAACCAGTCTTATGTTAAAGAAGAATACAACAGAGGTCTTCAACTGCACCAATACCCCAAATAATGTAGGTTCCCCACTAGAAAAGTAAATTTTACTGATGAGTACAACTTCATGATTAGGGAAATAAAAGGAGATTTATTATAAATTGACTGTAGGTCCTCTAAAGGCAGTTGTGGAGTAAAGCAAAGCATATTTGTTTGGCTAAGTATCTTTCAAGCATCATTATGAATAACCAATATTTTTGAAATGACTATGTGTAATGTGAAGTGGTTCGTAGTCATAAGCCCAGTGAGAATTATCACCCGATTCTGCAGGCTCCCACCTCTATGGAGCTTTTTAGCGTCTTTCAGCTAGTTGTTATTTGTTTGTGTTTTTACGAATCACAACTTTATTGTTTTGATTCAGTCTCATGCTGTCATCATAAACCCGTACTTATTACCCAAAATTAGCTAACGTAGAGGAGCATTTAGCAGCGAAAGAGCCAGATATTTTCCTTAGGAGTTCCTTAGGAGTTTGATGGAAATCTAAAACAGTGATAAAATGGTTAGGGGTGAATATTGTACTTTTGTCAGGTTGCCATAAAAACGACTCCAAATAAATGCAAATTTTGCTTCCTGTCTGCTGGATGTGTAAATGTTTGTATAAATTATTTCTGCTTTAAATCATTTATTATTGAAAATTATTCCAAGTAATTAAGATGATTAACCTTGCTGACTTGAAATGAAGTAGGTGCCACATGTGCCTTTTATTGGTCAACCAACAATGATCAAACAGATCACAAAGGTCTATTGAAAAGGCCAACTAAGATCAACAGCTAAATCTAATATCATCAATACCACACCAGCCTCAGAAACATTAAATGAGAGAAAATCTATGTTAGCTTTGAAGTTAATCAGTATGTAAATCCATTTTCTGTTATCATTGTCAAGTTCAGTGTCTGAATTGGGTCACACTCTGTTATTTGATGCTGTTACTTTAAAAGCAAATACTTTATTACCAGTTCCCATCCGAATCCAAAATATCTGACTAAACTAACACATGTCCACACACACACACACACACACACACACACACACACACACACACACACACACACACACTCACGCACACACACACACACCACCACACACACACACACACACGAACACACACACGAACAAACCATTAATGTGAAGGTAAGCCAGAGTCTGTGGTGATTTAGGGGTAGCAGACAGTGGAAGGGTATAGGCCAAGCTCTGGGTCTCATATCTCTGTCCATTCACCAGCCCATAAATAATCACACACCCTCACAGTGACATGAGGGAAGATGCAGTTTGAGATGAAGGACAGAGGGAGTAAGAAAGAGAGGATGTGGTGTCATTTGATGAACAGAGAGCTAAAGCAAGAGTGCAGAGAGATGAGAGC